CATTTTTCATGATGCTTAGACTGTGATACCACACTCCCAGGTTTTCTATATGAATATCTCCTGTATGTTGCTTTTTTAGTACCTAGATATTCCTTTCCTTTTCTCACTCTCCACTTGGGCTACTTGGGCTCTGAATTTCCTCTCCCCTTGCCAAGTTTTTGACAACCTGTTCTTGGACTTCTAGATCTCTCTTGTACTATACTTACTCTAGTTTGTTTTTTGTTGTTTTTTTGTTTTCTTTCATTGCTGTTGTTGAGACAAGATCTTGCTCTCAAGTTTAATTCCCAAGCTGGCCTCAAACTTGTAGTTATCCTGCCTCAGCCTCCAAAGCACTACATTTACAGATGTATACTGTCATACTCAGCTTATAGTTTGTTTTGTTTTGTTTTTCCAGTCCTGGGGCTTGAACTCAGGGCCTGGCCACTGTCCCTGAGCATCTTTTGCTCAAGACTAGTACTTCACTACTTGAGCCACAGTACCACTTGAGGCTTTTTCTGTTTATATGGTACTGAGGAATCAAACCTAGGGCTTCATGCATGCCAAGTAAGCGTTCTACCACTAAGCCACATTCCAAGCCCCTCAGCTTACAGTTTTTAACACCCAAGTAAGATTTTGGTGACTTTTAAATAGGCCATAAATGTATCTCTTTTAATGGTTTATGGATTTTGGAATTTTGTTCTTCTAGTACACATCTGGGTACTTTTTTTTTTTGGGGGGGGGGGTCCGGTCATGGGGCCTGAACTCTTGGCTTGGGCACTGTCCCTCAGCTCTTCAGCTCAAGACTAGCGGCTCTACCACCTGAGCCACAGCGCCACTTCCGGGTTTTTTCTTTTTGCTTATGTGGTGCTGAGGAATCGAACCCAGGGCCTCGAGCATGCAAGGCAAGCGCTCTACCATTGAGCCACCTTCCCAGCCCCTGGGTACTTTTTTTTAGGAACAAAAACCATGAAATTTAAAATGTAGATAATTATAATAGCTTAAACATGTTCTGTCCTGTATTTCAGTAAGTAATTTAGAAAATCATTGTGAAGTTTTTAAGTACAATGCAATGGATGTCTAAAGGAAATAATATATGATATAAAGTTCCACAATTTGGTATAATGCATACTGTTGTATATTCTATTATCTTAGAATACTAAATTGTTTTAAGCAAAGAATAAAATCTCAAATTACTAATGTGAATAAGTAAATACATAGCATCAGACTAATAAATTGGCTTAAACTTAGAAACTGACAAAATTTTATTATAGCAGAGAATCACTGACCGATTATTCTTGGAGTCTATAATCTTTCAGAAACCAAATACCCTGTGGATCTGCAGCCAGTACATTTTTTCCAGTGGAGATGCCAAGTACAATGACTGTCAAGTCTGAAGTGTGTTTTTAACAAAATGAATATTGTCTCTTTTTATACAGAACTACATTGGCACATTGAAGATTTCAGGCACTTTGTTTTAGAATGTTGATGCGAAATCTTGGCTTTGGGATTCACCAACTTATTGAAATGATTAATGGAAAGATAGAAGAGTAAAGCAGTTATTTCCCAAACCATTTTTAAACCTTTATAAAACTTTAAGATGCCTTATATAAACTCATATTTAGAGTTAAAAATGGTGAAGGAAACCTCATATTTAAAAAAAGATGAAATTGCTTCTCTTTTTTCCCCTAGCACTAGGGAATTGAACTTAGGGCCTCATGCTCTTACTGGGCTTACTGTAGCTAGTGCTTTACCATTGAGCTGAGCTTCCAATTCTGCCTTTTTGCTGGTTAATTGGCAATAACATGTAGATTTTTCAGCATTATATCTGCAGCTGGTGTAGTACTTAATGCCTTTGACTGAGACTCAAAATCAGTACTTGATGTTTTGCTCATTGGCTGGTGTCCTACGAACTGAGCCATGCCTCTAACCTCCCCACAATATCTTTTTTTTTTTTTTTTTTTGTCAGTCATGGGCCTGAACTCTGGGCCTGGGCGCTATCCCTCAGCTCTTCAGCTCAAGGCTAGCGCTCGACCACAACGCTTGAGCCACAACACCACTTCTGGCTTTTTCTGCTTATGTGGTGCTGAGGAATTGAACCCAGGACCTCATGCATGCAAGGCAAGCACTCTACCACTGAGCCACCTTCCCAGCCCCCCAATATCTTTTTTGATCATTAGTTAACTTTATTTTAGAAACATCCTTCTTACAAAAAAAAAATCCATTTAGCTGCTTGTTGACAGTTGAGTAGAAACAGTCTTTTTATAGAGCTTCTTCTTATTTTTTTGTCCCTGCATAGATGTAAGTTACTAGTATCTGTATACAACATTATTGCCTGAACATAAATCAGATAAATATCATGAAGTACATGGCTCTGGCAATTTTTTGTTTTCTTCTCTCTCACTCTCCAGAGCAGGTTAAAAGTCAGTTTTCAGGTCGACAAAGATAAGGTGAGCATCAGTAATCCAAAACAGAATAATAATCTACAGAGTACTTTTAAACAGACTGTTTAAATAGTAACTATTTGGGGCTGGGTCTATACTTGTAAAACTCTGGTTTTGGTTTGTTTGTTTCTTCCCAAAGGCAAAATCTCAACCTATAGCAAAGAATGGCCTTAAACTCACTATGTAGTGGAGGATGACTTTGACCTCTCCATTATCCTAATGCCTCCGTTTCCTAAGTGTTAGGATGATATACATTCACTATCATTCCCAGCTATAGTTCTACTTTTGTTGTATTTATTATTTGATTTGTCCATATACTTAGTAAAAAGATATGAATTCACTGTCTTGCCCAACTTATTTCTATTCCTCTTTTGTCCTGTCTTTTCAGTGTGGGGGGAAGTAGGGGAAAGCTGCCCTGGGGCTTGAACTTGGGGTACAGGTACGTCCCTGAGATTTTTTTTTTTCTTCTCGAAGTTTAGTGCTATATTACTTAAGCTACAGCTCCCTTTCTGGCTTCTTGGTGATTAATTGTAGGTAAGAGTCTCATGGACTTTCCTGTCTGCATTGGCCTTGAACTACAATATTCAGATCTCAGCCTCCTGAGTAGGTAGGATTATAGGCATGAGCCACAGACACCTGGCTTTTATCTTTTGTCCTATCTTTGTGTCTCCTATCGTAGGAAACTAGTATTTGAACTTTGTATTTATCAATCCCTTCATTTGTTTTACCACATTTTTCATTTTTTGTTATAATTCTCAATTTCTTTTTTTTTTTTTTTTTGTCAGTCGTGGGGCTTAAACCTTCCCAGCCTCTTGAGTTTTTCTTCATGTCTAAGCAATCCTTGTTTTTTTTTTTTTTTTTTTTTTTTTTTTGGGTCTGGTCGTGGGGCCTGAACTCTGGGCCTGGGCACTGTCCCTCAGCTCTTCAGCTCAAGGCTAGCGCTCTACCACTTGAGCCACAGCGCCACTTCTGGCTTTTTTCTTTTTGCTTATGTGGTGCTGAGGAATCGAACCCAGGGCCTCATGCATGCAAGGCAAGTGCTCTATCACTGAGCCACCTTCCCAGCCCCAGCAATCCTTGTTTTTAAATGGATCGAAAAATGAGTATTTGATGATAATGCCATTTAACTAATTTCCCATATCTCCTCTTTTCCTATTTATTGGAAAGATGTTTTAAGAAGCTGAAAATTTTATGTCAGGCACTTTATATTCAGAGAGATGCAGTAACTAATTTTAACTATCCTTCATGACCCTCTTCTTTATCCCTAGTGACATCAAAGTTAGGATACATACATTAGGGATTAACTGGATCAAAGTATTTATGAACTCAGTAATCAGTTAACTAAAAGTATTGTCTTTTACCAAGGTTGAAATGTCTGATAGTGCTACCATTTTTTTTAAGTCACTCTGAAGATAATAATCTCCTTTGTTAGAATATTACTAGGGATACTAGGCAAGACACTTAAACTTTATGCTTTTATCCTTTTAAAAATGGACAAATACTTCTAATTGTTCTTTCGAGTATTGATTCCACTACCTCTATTTTGAAATTATTTCTTTCTAAAAACCATAAAATGATAACCACAAAAGAATTTTAAAGTACTAGATGTACATCTAATTTAATGGACAATAAAGTATAAACAATACTTTCTAAAGATATAGGATGCTTTAATGTGGGGCAAAACCAAAACAACAAAAACCTAAGGTACAGGGGCTGGGAAGGTGGCTCAGTGGTAGAGTGCTTGCCTTGCATGCATGAGGCCCTGGATTCGATTCCTCAGCATCACATAAGCAAAAAGAAAAAAGCCAGAAGTGGCACTGTGGCTCAGGTGGTAGAGCGCTAGTCTTGAGCTGAAGAGCTGAGGGATAAGCACCTAGGCACAGAGTTCAGGCCCCACAACCGGACCCAAAAAAAAAAAACCCCTAAGGCACAGAACTAATGGCAAGTTTACTTTTCTGTTTTGTATAAAATTATATAATAAAAGAAAAAAATGTATAAATTTTATTGTATAAAATTATACAAGAAAAGAAAAAAATAAGTGTCACTACTCCACAATACTGTGAAATATGTGAAATTTATGTCATCACTTAATCTCAATAAAAAAAGAAAAAAATTGCTAATAACTTTACAACATTCATCTTTTGGGGTTGATTTTTGTGAATAACTTCTCACAAAAGAAGAGATAACAGGGCTGGGAAGGTGGCTCAGTGGTAGAGCGCTTGCCTTGCATGCATGAGGCCCTGGATTCGATTCCTCAATACCACATAAGCAGAAAAAGCCGGAAGTGGTGCTGTGGCTCAAGTGGTAGAGCACTAGCCTTGAGCTGAAGAGCTGAAGGACAGTGCCCAGGTCCAGAGTTCAGGCCCCATAACCGACAAAAAAAAAAAAAAAAAAAAAGAAGATAATACCAGGGGTGATATCAATCAGGATTCATCGTGTTTATAAACTGGCATGTTGAATGGTAACCCCTTTGTACAGTTACCTAAAGATAATCGAAAAGACAAAAGACATTCATGCATATATAATGAAATTGCTGACTGAGTTTCTTAGTGTTTTTTTTTTCCTGTGTTCTTTCCACAGAATCTGTCTATGATCTTCTCCCAAAGGAGTTACAGTTACCTCCATCTAGAGAAACATCTGTAGCATCAATGAGTCAGACAAGTGGTGGTGAGGCAGGCTCGCCTCCTCCAGCTGTAGTTGCTGCTGGTATGCACTTCATTCTACTTTATTAAAGAAAGCTAGGATATGTTACCTGGCCAACATGAACAGTGCTGGCAAAGTTCATTTTTAAAAAGTGTGTGATTTGAGGGTTTGTTCTACAAGGTTTTAAAATATAAACCTTTAATCTGTAAAATTTTTAATGTAATTTTCTTTTTATAAAATTTCATTTTGGCAAATCTGTGACATCTCCTTTAAATGGGCCTTGTCTTCAAATATGCATTGTTTATATAACAGTCACATTAAAAGCTCAACTGTCAAGCTATGGATTAAAAAATTGTATTTGAGTTCCTAGTCACGAAATACTTTTTCTTATAAAACATAGTATTTAGAATCTTAAAAAAATAATAAATTATACATTAAAAAGAGCAATTTTGAAAAGTAACTAAGATAAGCTAGGCACTTGGTGAGCTCACACCTATAATCCTTACTGTTCAGGAGGCTGAGATCTGAGGATCAAGGTTCCAAGCTAGCCTGGGCAAGAAAAGTCCATGAGACTCATCTTCAGTTAACCACCAAAAAGCCAAAAGTAGAGCTGTGGCTCAAGTGCTAGAGTACTAGCCTTGAGAAAAGCTCAGGACAGCACACAGGCCCTATGTTCAAGCCCTAGGACTGGCACACACTAAAAAAAGTAACTGTTGATAGACCTCTTTAAGAAATATTTTTAAAGACTTGTTCAAAGAGGACAGTATTTTATATATTCTGAAAATCAAGCTCTTAATACTTTTTCTGCTTGTAACATATTACTATAACCTTTTTTCTACATTTAAAAATCTGTGATATCATTCTTAAACATTCTCTATGTCAGTATAAAAGTATAAAAAGTAATATTTGAAATTTATGAAGATTATTTGTACTTGCTCTCAAATCATACACTTTATAGCTATATAAAATTGGTTCAAAATTTCATTTTAATTAGAGTAAAACATCAACAGATAAGCTAATAGAAAAGTTTTGATTAGTGATAAATTAGTATAAATGCTTTGTATAATATTAACTTGCCCAACTACAATTCTTTTTTTAAAGTTGGGATTATAGATTGCTAAGTATTTTTGTGTAGAAAAAGGAAAATATATATCTATATATCCTAAAGTTTAATCTGTCCTTCTTAGGTAGATGTTTCTTGCTTGATATACTGCCTCTCATCTTTTCAAATGATATTGAAAAATCCATGAGAGCATTATTTTCAGTAAATTCTTTTAGTTTCACAGACAGAAGAGTGAGAAATAGAAGGTTGTAAACTGAATGTGGATTTTGGTACTATAGTATAGCGTCAGATATTTTCTTCAGATGTATTAACATATGTACCATTAACCTTGTGTACCAGTCTCTCCTAAACTGTATAGTACAATATGAAACCTTCTATATTGAGGTCAGGAAAACATTAAATATGGCAAAGAAATTTATTGGCCCTGCTACTGTTCATGTGTTGCCAGAAATTTTCTAACAGTTTCTGTGGATTTAATTGTGAATTAGTGAACTTTTTAGTAATACAAATTAATAAAAATAACCTGTTTTACTTTGCCTACTGGATTCTAAAATGGCTCTGAATATTTTTCTGGAATTTAAAGTTTTAGTTCTAGCTAATTATATCAGCTAGTAAAATATGAAATATTTTTATTAATGTATTTCCCTTTAAATCCACATGTAGAAATGGACTAACTGATATCTTTTGTATCTTTTGAGATTGTTTTAAAAAGACATGTTGAATATGTATAGAACTAAAAGTCTGTTTCTTCTGTGCTTTTTAACATCTGTTTATAGTACATTCACTTCCTTTTCAAAGCTGAAAAAGTTCTAGCCAGGTTTGGAAAAAAATATCAGCACTTGCTTTTAAGTAATACCAACTCAATTTCAGAAATTATTTGTATCAAAGTTCTTGATTTTTGGTCAGTAATGAAATATTAATTCTCACCACCACCACACATAACTGAGAAAATCCTGTACAGATGAATTAGATTCGAAGCTATGAGTTGAAAGATTATGAAAGTAAATTATTTGAAATGTTTGAAGTATTCTGAAGCTATAAATTTATATTACTTCGAAATGATTGACATTGTAAGGATGATAGAATAAGGAGGTAACTGAAATTTTTCTCACTCACACGGAGTTTCTGTTATCTAAAATGAAATGATTTGCTGTCTCTTTTTTCCTCCCCACAATCTACTTTTTCAGTAATCACCCTAATTTATTTTAATATTCTAATGTCTGATTGGTAGAAAAGAATCCTTTAAAGGTGGGCAAATAGTACATGCCTCTAATATCAGTATATGGGGATGCTTAAAAGTCCTGTCTGGACTACTTAGAAGTTCCCAGGCCAGCCTGGACTATATAGAAATAGAGAGAGAAAGAAACTCCCATCTCAAAATAAGTAAGTGAATAAAATAAAAATAATCCTTTATCATATCATAAACAACAGAGTTTAATTTATAGAATAGTAATGTTAATACATATAATTAGAGTCACATTTTCATTTGTTATATTAATATCCTTGGTTATATACATATATATATCATCAAAGAGATTTGGAATACATTACCAAATTATTCATTATTTTCTGGTCAAAAGACTGGGAAATGAACATTAAACATCTGTGAGTTTTTTAAATTGTAGCATTTGCTGTTTAAATATGAAATGCATTAAAAATGACTCTTGATATAGTTAATTCTTCATAGTGTTTTGAAGGAGCCGGATTGGCTGCTATCAGGTATGAGGGCCTGGTGGGAACAGACTTCTAGTTCTGCCATAAAGGTTTGTGCTTCACAAGTTTTAAATCAATTTAAAATTAAAATTTAGATGCTTGGGATATGCATGTTCAAGTACATTTTTTGTTATTAAATTGTGAAAAACATGTTTCTCAGATTCACCAATATAAATTCCTCCCTCCTCTCATATGTTACCCAAGGCATAAGTAATCATGATGCTGCTAATCCACAATCCAGAATATTGAGTAAAAGAATCTCTCTCAATCCTGACTTTTTAAATCTTTGCCTCTATACTATTTGCATACCTTTACATACACACATCTATAAAATCTTTTTATTCTATTAGTCCCACAGCTGGAATGTAGGAAGGAGGAAAGGAGGGTGGATTTCCACAGGGTCAGGTGTCACAATCTGGGAGGTAATTGAGAGTTACCAGTCTGAAATTTGTTCATTTCCCTGTTTTAAAGAACTCTGTATTTGTCCCATGAAAACGTAGTTCCAATTTGTCCATGAATAGAAGCTAACAGTATTTTAGGATCTCAGTATTTAAGGTGTAGGCCATTTTTCCTAAATAACAAAGTACAAATGAATTGGAAGTGTTAGCAAAATAAAGAATTAAAAGAAATGTGCAGGGCACCAGTGGCTCACACCTATAATCCTAACTACTCAGGAGGCTGAGGCCTGAGGATTGCGATTCAAAGCCAGCCTGGTCAGGAAAGTCTGTGAGACTCTTATCTCCAATAAACCACCAGAAAATTGGAAGTGGCACTGTGCCTCAAGTGGTAGAGCTGAAATGCTGAGGGACAACGCCTAGGCCCAGAGTTCAAGCCCCATGACCAATGAAAAAAAAAATGCAAGTCCAAACTGGATTTTGTTTTGTAAAATCCTAAAGTATTATAGAATATAAACAATCAAAATATAGATATTTTTTTAAGAGCACTAAAACAATCATAGCAAACTTTAGGATTTTAAAGAGGCATGGTAGGGTTTGAACAAGGGGCTCAGGTGCTCTACTACTACTTGAGCCATGTCTCCAACTCATTTTGCTCTTGTTATCTTGGTCTTGGCTCAGGCTGGCTGTGTGTGTGTGTGTGTGTGTGTGTGTGTGTGTGTGTGTGTGTGTGTGTGTGTGTGTGTGTGTGTGTGCGCGTGCGTGCACGCTAGGGCTTAAACTCAGGGTCTCGGCACACCCCTGTCCTCAACACCCCCCCCCCCCCCCCCAGCTTTTTTGCTCAAGGCTAGCACTCTTTCTACTTGAGCCACAGCTCCATTTCCAGCTTTTTTGGGGGAGGAGGTAGTTAATTGGAAATAAGTCACACAGACTTTCTTGCCTAGGCTAGCTTCAAACCTCAATCCTCAGATCTCAGCCTCCTGAATAACTAGGATTATAGACTCATAGTCACACCGAGCTCTTGATGGGGTAAAATATCCTGAACTTTTTGCCTAGATGGGCCTCCAATCATGATCTTCCTGATCACAGCCTTTAATTATATGTATAGTAATTAACTGTAGATGTGGAGGTTTTAATCCTTAGAATTAATTTATTCACAATAGAAAAATCTTTCACAGAAGTCAAAATGACTTTGGGTTAGTTTAAAAAATCATTATCTTGTATTACCCTAGATTATTTGTTCTCATTTAAGGATGTTATCTTTATTAGTTTATATCAAAATATTATGTTTTGCTAAAGTGACTATTTCAAATTTCTTTAACGTTTCTAATTCAAGCTCTTGAGCTGACTGGAGGCTGAGCAAAAGTTTGGGGTCCAGAGTTCAAGTCCCAGTTGGTTCAAGGATCAACCCTTCTCCCTGCCCCCCCTCCCCCACCTTCTTGTTGTCTCTCTGTCTGTGTCTCTGTCTGTCTGTCTGTGTCTCTCTCTCTTATTGGAGGCTGAGCAAAAGTGTGAGGTCCAGAGTTCAAGTCCCAGTTGGTCCAAGGATCAACCTCTACACACGAAAAACCTTGAGCTGTCCAGGAGTGGTTGTGGGTTTTCAAGGCCAGCCTGGGTTACATAGCAAGATCCTGTTTCAAAATACTAAATAAATAATACTTATTTTAACAATGAATTGATCAAGTTTTAAGTTTTGTAGTTTGGCTGAGAATTTCTTTTGGTTGGGGGAGCAGTTCTAGAGTTTAGTGTCAGGAATTTGCACTTGCTGGGCAAATGCTTTACTCTTTGAGCCACATTTCCAGCCCCATGTACATAGATTTTGTGAGTGCAGATGGTTTATTCCATATGAGTAGTCCCAGTTTTCATAAAGAATAAGACACAAGATTGGGGCA